GAGGACGTCCGAAATGAGTGGGAGGGGGTATGAGTTTTTGACCGTGATTTCGTTGAGCTTTCGGTAGTCCTGGACTAGGCGCAGAGATCCATCCTTCTTCTTGACAAAGAAGACTGGGGCTCCCATCGGGGATTTGGACGCCCGTATGCGCCCGTTCCGCAGGTTTTCACGCAGGAACTCGTCCAGCTCCTTCTGCTCTGGTCGTGACAGGGGGAAGGTCCTCCCTCTCGGGAGTTTGGCATCCGGCGCTAGGTCTATCGCGTGGTCCCAGGGCTTCCGTGGGGGTAGCTGGTCGAAGGCTTCTTTCGAGAACACGTCCCGGAAGTCCTGGTACTGTTCTGGGACTAGCGTCTCAAACGGTGCGGGTTCTACTTCTGGTCCGCGGGCTTCCTGGGCCATCCGCTGAGATGGCGTCGTGGTTGCTCTTAGTTCGTGTCCCCACCCTGGGGGGATAATGGCGGCGTAAATCCCGTCCCCAGGTTCCACTGTGGGGTCGGAGTCGGCGTGTCCTCGTGCCGACTGGCAGGAGGATGGGCAGCGGGACATAGTGACCCTTTGCCGCGTCCAGTCTACCTCTGGGTTGTGGTGCAGCAGCCACGAGTGTCCGATGATGAGGGACTGTCGTCCGAGGTTTGCGACGGCGAAGCGAGCCCGCTCCGTGTGCCGTCCAAACGTCAGGAGTGCCTCTAGTTCCTTGGTTATAGCTCCATTCTCGTTTGGGGTGCCATCGACATTGCAGACGGGGATGGGTTGGGGGAGCGGGATCGTCTCAAGCCGGTGTTTTCTGACGAACTCGGGGCTTACGAAGTTCCCGGTGGCCCCCAAGTCTAGGAGGGCGGACACAGAGACAGTGGCGAGGGAGGTCAGGGTAGTCAGCTTTACAGCTAGGTTGAGGGATCTGGGGGGTTGTTTGGACAGGACGTAGATAGCGGGTGGCGGGACCGCTACTTCAGGCGCCGTGCTTGGCGTTTCTCTGTCCTTACTGTTCGAGGACGCGGTTTTCCTCTTTTTCTTGGCGATGACTCAGTGGAATTTGGACGTTGGCGCTGGTTTAAGCGCGTCACGGTATCTACACGAGCTAGTACTATCGCCTACAGGCGGCCGGGGCGCGTCCCTCACCGGTCGCCTTCTTGAAAATCCTCTTGGGCTTCTACCTCTTGCCCTTCTCCTCTATCTGTCTCTGTCCCTGGTTCATCCACCAATTGCCTCCTCAGCCCCTCCATGAGTGCCCTGAGGTCCTCCGGGTGCATCCGCCTGGCTCGGCGGGTTTTTGGCTGCGGGCAGTCTCGCGCGATGTGCCCCGGTGCGTTGCAGTTGTAGCAGAGGCCGCCTCGTCTTTGGTCTATCCTCGAGCGGTCGAGGTCCATAGGTTGCGGCCCTCCTCCCGCCACAGGGCGCAGTGCAGGGGGCGGCGGTGCGGCGGCAGGTTGGGGGCGCAGGGGTGCAGGGGGTAGACGGGCTTGTGGGAGGGTGGTAGGGAGTAGGGATCTCGCGGGTGGAAGCTGGGGCCTGGCTGGGGGGAGGCGGGGTTGGGTTGCTTGGAAGCGTCGCCACTGGTTGTCAAGGAGGGTGGCCTCGCGTTTCCACTCGGCCCAGGTAGTCGGCATGGGGCGGAGGCGGTAGATGCTTTCTCGGAGTCGGGAGTTGATCGCCTGTTCAAAGCGGTCTACTAGCCCTACATCTCCTAGCCGCGAGGCGGGGCCGAGGATCTCGAACTCTTGGATGACCTTGTCCACAGAGTCGGCGCCTTGTTGCAAGGTGGCCAGCTTCTGCCTGGCTGTGGCTTCGCGGTTCGGGTCTTGAAACATGGCGTCGAGTTCCGTGTTGAACTCGTCCATGGTAAGCCCGGGGGAGCCCGTCGTCAGCAGCGCGATGGTACGCTGCGTTGCCCATGCTCCCGCAGTCCCTCCTTTCATGTAGGACAGGACAAAGAGGATCTGGGACAGGGCGTCGGGAAACTCCGCCGCCCGAACGTGGAAGTAGATCCCGCATTCAGCCTTGAAGCGGTCAAGGTCTTCGGTTGCTCCAGAGAAGGGGGTGGGGGGGGCAACTTTAGGCGGTTTGGGTCTGGGGGCGGGTGCGGGCGTGGGTGCGGGCGCTGGCGCGGGTGCGGGCGCCACTGGGGGTTGGTTCTGGGTTTGGCTCTCTACAATAGCTTGGAGCTCTTGGAATCGGGACAGCAGCTCGTCATACTGCTCTTCGGTCACCATAGTGGGGGAGATGGGGGAGGCGGGGGAAATGAGGTTAAAGCCTTCTTCTGCTGTCAGGGACAGCTCCGAGAGCGGCGAGGTCCCGGCGCGAGGGACTCGATGGGACAGATGTCGGCTATGCGTAGCGGCGGTCCCGTCGCGGGGTGAGCGTCCCCGACCACTTGGTCTGAAGTGGGAAGTTGGTTTATCATTAAAAGGAAGAAGCTATGGTACTTACCTGAAGTGGGAAGTTGAGAAGAAGGCTGCTTCTTCTGTTCCCACCTCAGGCGCTATTATATACATGCGGTCAGGGTCACGTGGAGGAGGCCACGTCATCTCCGCGCACAGCCGCACCTCCCCGGGTGTCTCCGCGGGAGATCCCAGAGGTGGCCGCTTGGTAGGCAGGAGTGCGCGCGGCGCGTGCGGCGATCGGGGGAAAGGGGTTAGGTGTGTAGTGGTACATAGAGAAAAGGGAAATCGACCGTAGAATAAAAAGAGAGAGAAAGGGGAAAAGTGAGGAAAGAGACTCGGGGGGTGATATCGGGGGAGCGGAGTAGGGTAGTGCGGCGCGGGGTGCGGGGTCGGGCGGGTGTGCCCTGACAGAGCTAAGGTCAAGAGATCCAGTGGAAGTGGAGGTAAGACTAGGAAGGTCTGGGTCAGTCTCAATAGGAGAACCGCGAGGTGTGCTAGGCGACACAGGCTCCAGCTGAGCAGCGAGGGGAAATGAGAGAAGAAAGCTGGTCTTCCTGCTCGCTACTCACGGTGTAATATACTGTAGCCCACACACACAGCTAATCTACGAGGCACTGTACATACCAACAATCAATGATCCAGGTTTGTCTGGCTGTGTTGGATCATGGAACATGGAACATGGATCTTGGAGTGGGATCAGATCATAAGGCTGTACAGGGATCATGGATCATGGAATCTGGGTGATCATAGATCATGGAATCAGATCATGATGGTAAGTAGGCTGGAAGTGGCCAGAAGTGGGTGTACTCTGACAGGAGCGGAGGTAATCCAGAGGAGCGGAGGTGGTTGAGGGGGATGGCCATGGATGGATATGACAAATTTGGTCTATATATTAATTTGGCTATATACCCTTGGTGTGTAGTGCTGCATTGGGGGCTGAAAGTTTAGCTCAGTTTGTTCAGTTTCCTGCATGGTAGGGACTTGGCTGTGACTCATCACATGATGCCAGAGTCAATGCTCTTAAATTTTAATTTTGATATCGGATAAATTAAACACTCAGGGAGCTCATATAGATAATAGTCCCCTGTGTGCAAATATAGCTCTATGAGCTTTGACTACTTTGGGGAGCTCTGAGAGAAGGGGACCTGCAATTTCAAAGTACTGAAGCTCTGAGAGCTCTATGAGCTCTCAGGCCTCTGCATCCAGGTTTGCTGATGTAACAGCAGCTGAAGGGTCCATGTTGCATTTGTGGAAGCATCGACTGATGTTTTCTTTACCACAAAGTGGCGTCTGCAACACGGTGCACCGCTACACTCTTCAGCGAAGGTCCTGGTATATTCAGGCATGTGGCAAATTTTGTGCCCCACTGCAGCGATGGTTTTGGGGCATGACCTTGTCAGGGGTGCACAAATTCTTCTACTATATAGAGTCAATTCGGGTAATAATCCACGAATAACCAACCTGGCTAATATGCTGATGCATCGCCTTGATGACCGGATCTTTCCTAGCCATCTTCCTAGCCAAAGAGTGAATATGTCTTCCCAACGGGCCTCATCTCCCCCTCCTGGCATCGTCTTGTATCGTCCCCTAAACTCCTGCTCACGGAAATTGTTGCGGGAGGTTTTGAGAGCAATTTCGCGGTTGAACGACGCCAAACGGTGCACTGGCTGACGAGAAATTTCGAAATTTGTGAAATATCAACTACGTATTTTGGGATCGTGTTCATATCGCTGGTTGGAATTTCGGCGAAGAAAGGATCTAATTTGGAAGGTTTCATTCATTCTTGCAGTCTGGAGCGTGGCCATCACAAAGGGAGGATTAAATAGATCTGAAAGGCATAAAAGCGTGGTCTGGGCATTAGTTCTCCCCATCAGTTCCTTCTCCCCCCCTCGCTCTCGGAACCCCAGTCGCTACTCGCCTTTGCTGTCCTTGGATCGTCTCTCGACGCCTGGTTTGTGGCCATTCTGAACTTCTTTCACTCCATGCATCGAGGCCTTGACGTCCCACTCGTTGTCCACGTTGACGTTCCCCCATCAATCTTCCACCCTTCACTTGATACCCTTAGCGCGTTACTCATGTTGCCATTCGAACCATCCACGATCCTTCAAGTCCCTTCCTGTACAAGTTCCCTGCCTATTACGCAACAACTCTGACTTTCGGATGATCTACGCATGGGGCCCTCCGATGGGTGCGCAACCGCAGAGCCTGCCAGTTCCTTTTTCCCTACGCCCTTGCTCCCGGAACTCTTGTCGTCACCATCCTTGCATCATCAATGTCTCGTTGGTAGCCACTCAAACCCTTTCCTTTCGCGAACTATCGGATCCTGAAGCTTTGGGTCATATCCAGGCTGCCAATTTTCACTTATTGGCGCACCCAAATCTACAAAAGAAATGCCCCTTCCGCCTATCCAACCGACTTATGATCACAGCTCACATCTTCATGCAACCCGTCGCGTCTGCTTCGGCGAACTGCTTGTGGGTCAGTTTTACCGGGTATCGGGTCTACACATCCTGTTTCCCCTCTGTGACTGTTTGGGCTGCCGATGGACTCCGACGACCCGTTGCATACCTTATGGATTTGACGCGCCTTGCAGGTTCCATGGACAGAGGGGAGTGGAAAACAAAGTTGAGTACGGGGACCCATACACACCCCTTTCTATCCAATGGACGCACGGTGAGAAAGAACGACCCACCTTCCTTTCTGCCCCACCATGTTTCTATCACCGCATGCGCTTTCCTCGGGCCGTTTCTCTCAGCCTTTCGGTTTGGAGCACCCCGTCGGCAAGCTTCTTTCTGTGTATTTCGTCTTGGATCTTTCCCTTCCTGTGTAGCTCATCGATCAGTGTTATACCCTATTTCTGGTCCATACTTCCAACAAAAACGGCGAACACATCACTTCCGTCATACAAATAGTACGTACCATGATTTTCTTTTAGCCAGCAAGCAATTGAATTCGTTCACGCAGCAGTATGTCCCGTTATTTCGGGAGAGTGGGAGAGGGGCACTTTTGCGGGATGCCCTCGTGGCGTCGGTATGGACATGTTCCCACAGGCGCTTGCGCCTGTTGTTCATGCCCCTTTCCTGTTAGGGTGCGAGCCAGTTGGGTCGTATGGTATCCACCCGACAGGTTTGGCCGTAAGTATCATTTCCCCTCTCATATTGAAACTCATGCTGACATCCTTACATGTGCAGGAATATCTTACGTCGCCCTCATTGTTGGGCAAGGAGCAAATTTAATGGTAAGCCGGTCAGGTCCACTCGTGTATTTTTCGCCACTAACATGATTACGCCACTAGTGGGAGCTTCCCCTACATTAGTCGATTTGATAGCTCAGCTTCGCCATATGGTACGCTAGAGGCATGTTAACTGTAAGTACAGTTCTGGATTCGTGCAGTGATCTGTTCCACTGTTTCACCTATCCTAGCAGACGTGTATTTATCCAGGTAGTTGTGTACAATTAATATTACTTTTCATTGCACTGTTTACGAGAGACGGTGCCTATTGAGCTCTGCGTTACTTTCGTCTATCTGGTATCCACCCAACAGGTTTGGCCGTAAGTATCATTTCCGAGACTCATGCTGACATCCTTATATGTCCAGGGATAACTTATGTCGCCCTCATTGTTGGGCAAGGAGTCAATCTAATAGTAAGCTGATCAGGTCCACTCGTGTATTTTTTTCGCCACTAACATTGGGTTACGCCACTGGCGTGAGCTCTCCTGCATTGGTTGATTTTATGGTTCAGCTCCCCCATAGAGGCACGATGACCGCAAGTACAGTCCTTTTCTTATGCCTAGATTCGTGCTGAGTTTTGTTCCACCTGGGAGGCAAACCCACACCGAACGTTCCATATTCTATGCTGAGTCGGTGAAACACCCGGCAATTGTTGGTCTTCTACGTAGCCCCTTCTCATTTCCATTATATTAGCCCTCAATTCTCATTACACTATCCGCTAGAGACACGATGTTTGCCTGTACCGCGCGTTCTTTCGTGTTTCACCTGTCCTAGCAGACGTGTATTTATCCAGCGTGGCTGCTAACAGACCTCAGCCTCGCAGCCGACACGAACGTACGATGTAAACTTATTGAAGTGTGCCAATGCTTGCACGCGGGCCACTAGCATTGTCTTTGTGGCCTAGCTGAACATCCATGGACCGCCGAAACGACTCATCCCCTTCGGCAAGAGGAATCACGCGGTTCCAACAGCCGGCTTAGCGGAGTTGCCCGAATTTATTCGTTTATTCGTTCCCACCCCCCAAGCCAATTCATTTTCAACGGTTCCCACAATAACCGGCGAATCAAAGCTTGCTCCTCTTTTCACTCCTCTCTCTGTTAGGTCCTAGCTTCCTGTCTTGCTGTGATACTACCTTAGGGTCCCCTCATCCGGATAACCGGTCTTAGACTGTTTGCAGTAAAATAAGTAGATCATAGACGCGTATCGAGGAAAGCACCACTCCGTGTACAGGAAGATGTCAGAGAAGAAGCAAACTGCTAGTTCTATAAAGTCATTTATCTCGGGTGGATGTGGTGGTGTTGCGGCTGTACTCGTTGGTAAGTGCGAACACTGTAAACTGAAATGTGACAAAACAAATCCGGGCCACTAACTATCTTACATTTACCACTCCTTGGTGCGCGCGCCATCATTATGTGATTATTGCGCTCGTCCCTCGCGTTCGCTGTGGTGACTGACTCATTATCGACTTCGAATGTGCTCCGGATCCGGTTGTGAATGGGAATCTCATTCTGAACGTCTAATTTTTCTTTAAACACCGCTGCTTCTAGGACACCCCTTTGACCTCACGAAGGTCCGACTACAAACTGCTCCGCAGGGGACATACACTGGTGCGATCGATGTTGTGAAGCAGACACTTGCCAGGGATGGGCTAAAAGGGCAAGTTCATTCTATATTTCCTATCCGAACAAGAATTCCTGTGAATTGCGGAGGGGTCACCCTTAGTGAGCCTGATTGGTTCGGCATTGAGAATGGTCATGTACGGGTGTCGGGGCGACTGATATCTTGACTATTTACTTTTGGCGTGAGACCTGTTGAATGATGGACTGACTGAAACGATGCCTGGTCTTCAGGATGTATCGAGGAATGGGACCGCCTCTCGTTGGAGTAACACCCATCTTTGCTATTTCGTTCTGGGTATGTTTACACTCATCTTCCTCTTTCGCCCTCCGCTCTTCACTGATCATTCCACTTTCTGCAAACAACCCCACCCCCACTTCTTAACTTCAATGAATATACCTATGCACATCACTACTACTGACCGTAACAACAGTCATACGACCTGGGGAAGAAGATCGTCTATTCTTTGACACCTAATCGGGCCAATACTAAATTATCAACGGCGGAATTAGCCTTTGCAGGGTTCTTCTCTGCCATCCCTACAACCCTCGTCGCAGCACCAGCGGAACGAATTAAGGTCGTGTTGCAAGTGCAAGGTCAAGGTGCATTCGTGCCAGCAGTTCCCTGGTAATATTCCGGGTAATCAGGTTGCTCGGTATCTATTTCTTATAGGCACGGCTGCTACTGCATATAACGGGCCTATCGCTGCCGTAAGAGGGCTGTATAAAGAAGGGGGGTTGAAGAGTATATTCCGTGGTTCGGGGGCGACGCTAGTCCGTGATGGACCGGGTAGCGCTGCGTACGTCCAGTTGTCCTCTTTCCCCCGCTCCTCCCTCCGTCTTACAATGCTAATTTTCGATGGACACTTTATGGGAAAATAGCTATTTCGTAACATACGAAGAATGCAAGAAAGCACTCACACCTGCTGGATCGGACCCTTCGCAGTTGAACCTGGGTGCCGTGATCGTTTCGGGTGGTATGGCGGGCGTTGCGATGTGGTCTTTGGGTATTCCTCCTGATGTACGTCAGTCTTGTCCCTCTGGGCGATATTTAGGACTCATGATCATTACCGGGGGACCGCTTGATAGGTGATCAAATCACGTATCCAATCCGCACCGCAGGGAACATATAGCGGATTCATCGATTGCGCACGGAAGACAATCGCTCAGGATGGAGTGATGGCGCTGTTTAAAGGGTTTGGTCCTGCTATGGCTAGGGTACGTTTCCTCCCTTCAATAATGATGGTCTATGATTTATCTTTCGTGTGATTAGGCTTTCCCGGCTAACGCAGCTACTTTCGTACGTTCTCTTTCATCTAGTAACATACTTACCTTACACTGTTGTTTTTCTCAAGCTCGGTGTGGAAGCATCACTGAAATTGATGGACAAGCTGTTCTAGCTGCATATATGTCTCAAGTGATCAGATACGATACTTAGATAATATACACACTCGAGCCCCCCCGCAACTTAGAGTGCCAATGCTGCTGAGGTTCATTCACTAAGCACTGGAAGCGAATGACAGTCCGGCTTGCAAGGAGAAAACCATAGGACCAGAATCTTTTCAGCTGCCAGTGGTACGAATACTGCTGTCGGTATGTCGTGTATGATTGACGGCCAATTGACGGCCTTGAACCTCTGCCAACCCCCGCGGTATTCAAGATTCAAGATTGGCTCTGAGATTCCGACAATTGTTTTAGCGAGGTCAACCAGTAAGAGATGTGATGGTTGTATGTTCTCGAGATGGCTAGTGAACGCAGTCAAGACTGGAGTCGTGGGAAGCAGTACACAGCCATCTTTCGGTTCCGTTTGCGCTCTGCATTTTTTATACGCTTTGCTGTCGTAAGATGGGTCTCCTACGCGTTGAAGAAAGCGATGAGAGTTCCGAAACTGTTCAACGCCCGTTGATCCTGTTGGAATCAAGCACGATACATGTATTTACACATGTTTGCACCGATGTTTCAATCCTAGTGGTCTATCGTTAGCTGGTCCGATCCCGGCCCCGTTGTGGCCTCACTCCTATGGTTTTCTATAGGTTATGAGCCCAGCCGGCCTAACGGCTTGCTGAAGTATCATCAAGAAAATCCACTTGACCCTCGTGGTGGACAGGCTAAGAGCTCTAACGGCCTTCCTCGGGTTTCTGGTACACACTATACCCACCCCCTCTTTAAGTCCATGTTGGCAATCACTCGCAAAATCCGTCTAGGCAATAAGTCCGTGTAGGCAATAAGTCCATGTTGGCAATCACTTGCAAAAATCGGTCTAGGCAATAAGTCCGCGCAGGCAATAAGTCCATGTAGGCAAACCACTCCTCCTTCAAAGTCCTGAAGGTAGCACTAGGAAATCATTCCTTCTTGCCACTGTAAGCCCTCAGACAGGCATGCGGATTTCATTTCAATTTTCCTTATTCCTGATTATATTTGCATTTTCATTCTCGTACGATTCGGATACATCCGGTTCAGAGGGTGTACCGCTTCCTTTATCCACCCTCCCCATGCCTACTCCTCTATTTGAGAAACTTGCTGATGACAATTACCCAAGTTGGGCAATGCGGATGGAAGCATACCTGGTCAAGCAGGATCTATGGGACATTGTGTCAGGGGATAACCAACGGCCAATCCAGTGCAGGTATAAATCCTGTCCAGTATGTTATCATGAGACTCCTGAATGAGGAGAACCGACAAATGGAGTACCAGGCAGTGGAAACACAAGCTGCACTCGCTGCACACTCAAAGGAGCCATGAAGGACCCCTGTTAGCTGTTTCAATTGTGGCGATGTAGGACACAGCCGGCAAGACAGCAAATTAAGTCCTTATGAAGTGCGACTCTGACGCGAGCTGGAACTGGAGAAGAAGAAGAAGGATGAATGAGCAAACATGGTCGAAGATCCCGAGCCTAAATCAGGATCAGACATTAAAACATTTGCATTATATTGATTTCATTTCATTTTTGGTTATTACATGTTTTCTTTGCTTGAGAGGGTGTGTTGGAATCAAGCACGATACATGTATTTACACATGTTTGCACTGATGTTTCAATCCTAGTGGTCTATCGTTAGCTGGTCCGATCCTGGCCCCGTTGTGGCCTCACTCCTATGGTTTTCTATAGATCCATGATGCACAGGGTACTTTCCTGCTCAACACTGATTTTCCTCAGCAAAATGGAGAGGATGAAGACCCATATCTGGTGGATGCCATTCAACTCACAGCCGTCCGCCTTGATGACTGAATCCCTGTTTCTTTCCGTTATAGGAAAGTTTCTTTGGGACGAAACCCGGCTTGAACGTCCTGCTTGCCATTGATCCAATTGCAGACGGCGGGATCACCAGCCTTGCCACAGCTGGACGACCACACCCGCTTATGCGGGCCTTTTCTACCTCATTCACCTTCACCACGTTCTCAACTTTCTCCAATGCATCGACCCTATCAGTCCGCAGTTCCGGGAGGACATTTTTCCTAAAGGAACTGTGCAAACAAGTCGTGGATAAGCATTTGTGGCTTCAAACTGCCAGGATTGTTAGCACATCCTGCTATGCTGAGCGGCTATACCTATGGCTCCTAGCGGATCGGATCGGATCGGATCCAGATCAGAATCCACGGATTTTGAGGTTTGAAATAAAATCTGTATCCAGGGGCTAGAAATCCGCGGATATGCGGATCAACCGCAGATTGTAGATAAAATGTTCCAAAGTTGCATTTTGTCAGAATTGTCCTTGACGAGAGCTTTCTAACAATCCCAAATTTGTCCATATTGGTGGAGAACTGATGGAAATATGGGGAGAATGGTGGAAAACTTGGAGGTCAAATGCCCAATTTGGGAATAACAGGCCTGGGTGGTCAAATAAGACTTGAAAAAATTGGAAGAAAATATAGAAACATAGGAGGGGTATCTAGAACAGTAGCAACAATAGATCCGCGGATAATCCGCCCATCTGCAGATTAGAAACCGCGGATATTATCCTGTCAAAAGCCAAATCCGCATCCGCGGATTTTCGGATAAATCTGTGGATATCTGAGTGTTATCCAATCCACTAGGAGCCCTAGCTATACCTCATCCTCCATTGTTTCCTTATCTTCCAGTTATGCTGTCCAGAGAAAAAGGATATATGGATGCAGATTGATAGAAGGACTAGATTAAGCATCTTCTTGCTTGTGTGAAGACTTGGGAAAACTTGCATCAATGATACAGTTGTGGACAGGCAAACACATTAAAGTTTCCAGACTGGGATTTTTAGTGCTGGACAATTTTTCGAGGAAATTTTTTAACAAATGTTATGAGTATTTGGGTGACTTTTGCAAGAGAAATATCCAGTATGGCAATCAACATTAATAGGCTGGTGGATGAATTATACTTGAGAATGGCCTCCATTTTGCTAGACTCATCCCCTTCTTAGGGATGTAATTGTGAGGTCTCAGTGGGTAGCTCAGCACACAGAGCTGTAAGTGTGTCAGGGCACACCCCACCTGACCCCGCACCGCGCCGCCCTACTCTGCTCCCCCGCTATCACTCCCTGTTTCTTCTTTCCCCTTTTCCTTCTTTCTTTCTATTTCCATTCCATGGTCGACTTCCCCTTCTCTATGTATTACTACACACCTAACCCCACTCCCCTGATCGCCGTGCGCATTCCCGCTCACAGAGCGGCACACCTCCGAGATCTCCCACAGAGATACCCAGGGGAGTGTGGCTATGTGTGGGGATGACATGGCTCCTCCCACGTGACCCCAACCGCATGTATATAATAGTGCCTGGGGTGGGAACAGAAGAAGCAGCCTTCTTCTCAACTTCCCACTTCAGGTAAGTACTGTAGCTTCCCCTTTTAATGATAATTCAACTTCCCACTTCAGACTAAGTGGTCGGGGACGCTCACCCCGTAATGGGACCACCGCTACGCATAGCTGACATCTGTCCCATCAGGTCCCACGCACCGGGACCTCGCCGCTGTCGGAGCTGTCCCTGACAGCAGAAGAAGGCTTTAACCTCATTTCCCCCGCCTCCCCCATCTCCCCTGCTATGGTGACCGAAGAGCAGTATGACGAGCTGCTGTCCTGATTCCAAAACCGTGTCCTCGAACAGTAAGGACAGAGAAACACCAAGCACAGCGCCGGAAGTAGTGGTCCCGCCACCCGCCATCTATGTACTGTCCAAGCAACCCCCCAGATCCCTCAACCTAGCTGTAAAGCTGACTACCCTGACCTCCCTTGCCACTGTCTCTGCGTCGGCCCTCCTAGACTTGGGGGCCACTGGGAACTTTGTAAGCCCCGAGTTTGTCAGAAAACACCGGCTTGAGATGATCCCGCTCCCCCAACCCATCCCCATCCGCAATGTTGATGGCACCCCAAATGAGAATGGGGCCATAACCGAGGAACTAGAGGCACTCCTGACGTTTGGACGGCACACAGAGCGGGCCCGCTTCACCGTCGCAAACCTCGGGCGACAGTCCCTCATCATCGGACACTCGTGGTTGCTGCACCACAACCCAGAGGTAGACTGGATGCGGCAGAAGGTCAGTATGTCCCACTGCCCATCCTCCTGCCAGTCGGCGCAAGGACATGCTGACTTGGACCCCACAGTGGAACCTGGGGACGGGATTTACGCTGCCATCATCCCTCCAGGGTAGGGACACAAACTGAGAGCAACCACGACGCCATCTCAGTGGATGGCCCAGGAAGCCCGCGAACCAGAAGTGGAACCCATGCCGTTTGAGGCACTAGTCCCAGAACAGTACCAGGACTTCCAGGACGTGTTCTCGAAAGAGGCCTTCGACCAGCTGCCCCCCCGGAAGCCCTGGGACCACACGATAGACCTGGCACTGGATGCCAAACTCCCGAGAGGGAGGACCTTCCCCCTGTCACGACCAGAACAGAAGGAGCTGGATGAGTTCCTGCATGAAAACCTGTGGAACGGGTGCATATGTGTCAGGGTTCAGCACCCTGCCTTAGGGTGCCCCGGACTCCCCACCTACTTTACCCCCTTTTATTCTTTGACTGTTGCCTTGTTGTTGCCTTTGTGTGTTGTGTACACGCATGCGCACGGGATAGCGTGGGAACTTTCTGAGCGAGCAGCTCGCCCAGAATGTTCCCACGCTTACTGGGCACTGCCACCTGGATGTTCCCTCCGGGTCACACTACACAACTCTAGGAGCTGTATAGTTGTGGGCATGTGACCCATTCCTTTATATAGCAACCATGCGGGGAGATGAGACCTTTACCCTTCTTCTCATCTCATGCCCCACATAGGCAAGTGTATATATTATCTTTCCTTTTACTATACATCTCATGCCCCACATAGTGTGAGGACAGGTTAGATGGGGGTTGAGGTCAGGGAGCCTCCGAGTCCAAGGCCGGGCCCTGACAATATGAGCATCCAAATCCCCGATGGGAGCCCCAGTCTTCTTTGTCAAGAAGAAGGATGGATCTTTGCACCTAGTCCAGGACTACCGAAAGCTCAACGAGATCACGGTCAAAAACTCATACCCCCTCCCACTC